CTCTGATTAATCTCCCCAGCTCCGATTCCACCTTCACCAGCTTCGATTCCACCTTCACCAGCTCCGATTCCACATCCACTAGCTCCAATTCCACTTACACCAGCTGCGATTCCTCTGCCATCAGCTCCGATTCCACCTCCACCAGTTCCGATTCAATCTCCACCAGCTTCGATTCCACCTTCACCAGCTCCGATTCCACCTCCATCAGCTCTGATTCAATCTCCACCAGCTTCGATTCCACCTTCACCAGCTCCGATTCCACCTCCACCAGCTCTGATTCAATCTCCACCAGCTCCAATTCCATCTCCACCAGCTCCGATGCCACCTTCACCAGCTTCGATTCCACCTTCACCAGCTCCGATTCCACATCCACTAGCTCCAATTCCACTTACACCAGCTGCGATTCCACTGCCATCAGCTCTGATTCAATCTCCACCAGCTCCAATTCCATCTCCACCAGCTCCGATGCCACCTTCACCAGCTTCGATTCCACCTCCACCAGCTCTGATTCCACCTATACCAGCTCTCATTCCACCTCCTCTAGCTCTGATTACACCTTCGCCGGCTCCGATTCCAGCTCTACCGGTTCCGATTCCACATCGACCAACTCCGATTCCACCTCCATCAGCTCTGATTCAATCTCCACCAGCTTCGATTCCACCTTCACCAGCTCCGATTCCACCTCCACCAGCTCTGATTCAATCTCCAGCAGCTCCGATTCCACCTCCACCAGCTCCGATTCCACCTCCACCAGCTCCGATTCCACCTTCACCAGCTTCGATTCCACCTTCACCAGCTCGGATTCCACATCCACTAGCTCCAATTCCACTTTCACCAGCTGCGATTCCTCTGCCATCAGCTCCGATTCCACCTCCACCAGTTCCGATTCCACCTCCACCAGCTCTGATTCCACCTCCATCGGATCCGATTGCACTTCCACCAGCTCTGATTTCACCTATACCAGCTCTCATTCCACCTCCTCTAGCTCTGATTACACCTTCGCCGGCTCCGATTCCAGCTCTACCGGTTCCGATTCCACATCGACCAACTCCGATTCCACCTCCATCAGCTCTGATTCAATCTCCACCAGCTTCGATTCCACCTTCACCAGCTCCGATTCCACCTCCACCAGCTCTGATTCCACCTATACCAGCTCTCATTCCACCTCCTCTAGCTCTGATTACACCTTCACCGGCTCCGATTCCAGCTCTACCGGTTCCGATTCCACATCGACCAACTCCGATTCCACCTCCATCAGCTCTGATTCAATCTCCACCAGCTCCGATTCCACCTTCACCAGCTCCGATTCCACCTTCACCAGCTCCGATTCCACATCCACTAGCTCCAATTCCACTTACACCAGATCCGATTCCACCTCCACCAGCTCTGATTCCACCTCCATCGGCTCCGATTGCACTTCCACCAGCTCCGATTCCACCTCCACCAGCTCTGATTCCACCTATACCAGCTCTCATTCCACCTCCTCTAGCTCTGATTACACCTTCGCCGGCTCCGATTCCAGCTCTACCGGTTCCGATTCCACATCGACCAACTCCGATTCCACCTCCATCAGCTCTGATTCAATCTCCACCAGCTCCGATTCCACCTTCACCAGCTTCGATTCCACCTTCACCAGCTCGGATTCCACATCCACTAGCTCCAATTCCACTTTCACCAGCTGCGATTCCTCTGCCATCAGCTCCGATTCCACCTCCACCTGTTCCGATTCCACCTCCACCAGCTCTGATTCCACCTCCATCGGATCCGATTGCACTTCCACCAGCTCCGATTCCACCTCCACCAGCTCTGATTTCACCTATACCAGCTCTCATTCCACCTCCTCTAGCTCTGATTACACCTCCGCCGGCTCCGATTCCAGCTCTACCGGTTCCGATTCCACATCCACCAACACCGATTCCACCTCCACCAGCTGGTGGAATCATCAAGATCAGCTATGAAGTTGTCGATGTATTCCAAGATCCAGGTCCGGCTCTAACAGCTCTAGTTCCAGCTGCTCAAATTCAGCTTCAAGACCATAGCCTCCAGTTCCAATAGCTCCGGTTCCAGGACCCAGAACTCCAGCTGAAGCTGGAGAACTGACGATTATCATTGTTTCTCTCTTCCCTTATATGCAAAATACTGGGAGATTCTTATCTTTTTGCTCTATTTTATTTTTTCCGACGCGTAAATTTTTTCTTCAAATATTTTTTGATTTTTAAAAATGAGAAACTAATTTTCTCACGCTTGCCTTATATTATAATTTCATTATCTTCCTTATTTTGAATGTGTATAGTTGGTCTAGTGGTATACGCTGTTGGCCATCAAGCCGATATTTATTGGTTCGACCCCCCGCATGGGATTTCTTTTTTTTTGTTTTAAATCAGGAGATTTAGGCCTAATGGGACGTTTACTTTCGTGGTATTTTTAAAAGTCTCAACCTCTTCTTGACATCAAAACATTGGCTGTGAGTCAGTCTCTTTTGAATCATCTTGGCAACATAACCAGAATAACAATTCTTGGTTTGCCTCAAACTTTGCATCCAACTTGTTTGTTCCGAAAACTTATTTTACAAAATGCGCTTTCTGACTATTTTGATCAACTTTGTTCCGTTTCTACCAATAAAATCGGAAGTGAAAATGCCGGAAAGAAGTGCCACTTACATGATGAATAACCAGTTTGCAACTATCATTGTTTATGCTAGAGGCCAAGATTTTGTCTGTATCAAGTCACTTTTTGTGGAGTATCCGAAAGAATGTGAGTTTCGATAATCTGTAATTTTTGTAAACTTTTAATACTGATTCTGATGTTTGTTACCTTTCGCCGGAACCTAACTTTGACAAACTATAGTCGTCAAATATTTTACCAGTTTTGAATGTTCCCCCCGAAACCACCAACTGTGAACTATTTATCCCGGTTACTGTAACAGATATCAAAAGGTGGTCAACTGACAAAATATTTATCATGATGCCACAAACATTTTGTCAGTTTACTACTTTTTGATATATTTTACAGAAAATGAGATATATAGGCTAAAAGTTTGCAGTTTTGGCCCATCCTATTAGAGTGCTTACGGTAACTTTAGAAACTAATCAGAAAAGTTTTACATTTTCGTCCCCGAATATCGTATTTCTTGAACCATTTTAATCTAATTTTGATCGGCTTATTTTTCCAGTGGACACCAATTACCTATGGCTTCCTTCTCTTCCTATCCTTGTAGAACTGCGATTCAAAACGCACTTTGCTTATTATGAGAAGGACGAATATGGACGAGAAATTGGAATTATGGCTTATGTGACTTATACACTGAATAATCATACGGTTACAGAGTATATTCATACGAAAAAAGTATACATGAGCAGAGATTGAACCCGTAAAAACTCTGAAAATTTTTCAGAATATCTGGGTTAGCATCACAGAATGGCAAATCGAGAACCCCATGTTGGATTTGTTGCTTGAATGAGAAAAACAACAATTTTTGTATTGTAGTTGTAATAAAAAACAGGTTTCGAAGAATCTTTTTTTGAAGTTTCAAAAATGAAAACTAGGAAGTTTTGAATTTCTATGAATTCTGAAGAGAATTGACACTTTCTAAAAATTTCAATAAAGCTTTTAAAAAGTTAAACTTACTTTCATGATTATGTTTCATTTAAATTTGTTCGAAGTTCCCAGTGGCTAACTTCCTGATATTCTCATTTTCTGTTTCAACTTACTACCGAATATCCGAGGGCACCATCTAACATTTACTGAAATAACCTGAGTTTCAGGTTTTCAAATACACTTAAAAATTTTTATTTTAATATCAAGTGACAAACTCGAATTAGTTCATTACATTAATAAAGCAATTTTGAAAAACCTAGAGTTTGAGAAAAACAAATTCTGTTTCACTTTATTTGTAAAAAGTATTGGCAGTTCATAGTTCCTAATCGGTGCCTGCAGTCGAAGCTGAACCTTTCGCTGGATATGCCGCGCTGAACACCAATCAATGCACACCGTCACGTAAGAATGCATACCGTAATTCAAAAAAAAAAAGAGTTATATAACATGTCTCTCCTCCCACTTTTAAGCAATTTCCAATTTTTTTTTTAACTTTAATAAACTTTTCTCTTTAGTTTCATTTGGAAAAAAAACTCTCAAAATTAAGTTCCACTTATAACTAATTTCCAACTCCCTTGTATGCCATCATGCAACATTTTACTCAAAAAAAACCCTATATTCCAGTTAGATTTCCGAATTGTTATTTTAATACTAAGTGACAAATTTGAATCACTTATAAAGGACTGTAAAACCTAGAATTCTAAAAAAGTTCCCAAAGGTTTTTAAAAAAATGTCTGTTTCATTTTGTTTGTAAAATTTATTTACAGTTAATAGTTTCTAATTGGTTACCCTCCACTACCTTTTTTTGGCTTAAAGGAGAGACACTATTTTCCATACATGTGGATGGCCGGGCCGGCCCGCTTCCCTCAAAACCCTCGGCCCGGCCCGGCCCGCCTAGGACAACTTTTTGAAAATGTTACTTTTCAAATGTGCCAATATATTTTTAATAGCAAAAATATTAATCCAAATGCATACAACCATCCGAAAAAGTCAATTTAATTGAATTTTTAGCAAAAAAATATAACTTCATTAAGCCAAGGATGAAATTTAAAAAAAAACGACCTCAAAACAGTTTTTTTTCGACAGAATCGTCCTCTAGCGTTATTAAGGAGAAAAGCCATCTTGAAAAATGATGATTTGCTCTAAAATTTCGAAATTTTCAAAAAGCGGGCCGGCCATGTGTAATTTTTTCCGGCCCGGCCCGGCCCGCTTTCAGAAAAATCTCAGCCTGGCCATGGCCCGGCCCGGCCCGGTCCGGCTTTTTTTTGCCTAAAAAATATGTTTCATTTTATTTGTGAGAAGACTTTATGATGAAAGTCTTATGGTGAAAAATGCGCAAAACCTCGTTCTCGTCTAGAAACTTCTAGAAGTTCTGGAATCTTTTTCGAACTACCGCCAGAACTGAAAATTCTAGGTCACCTGGAAAAGTGCGTAAATTAGAAACGGAGAGTCTTCGGTTTTGGTACAAATATTAGTGAAATAAAAATTGTATGGCTGGAGCCCCTGTTATTATAAAAGAATACTTTCGAAAATTTACAAAACGAAAAACTTTGAAAAGTCCATTTTAAGAAACTTCTAGAAGACTCTCGATTTTTGATTACTTTCGAAATCCCCAGGTTTACGTTCCCGGCACTTTTCTGAAGATAACATAGATTTTTTAGTTTTGGGGGGATTTCAAAAATATTTTGAGATTCTCCTAGAAGTTCACACTTTTGGGAGAATTTTTTTTTCGCACTTTTAGGAGAATTTAGAGATTCTCCTAAAAGTGCGTGCATATGATGCGTTCCAGGCTTCTCTAGTTTTGCACTTCATTATGACATCATCTAATATTTTGAAAAACCTAAATTAAAGGTTTTCAGATACATTTTAAAATGTCCATTCTGAAATCAAGTGACGAATTCGATCTCGTCTGGGGGTTCAAAATTTCGTTCAACTGAATAAAACCTCATTTCTAGTTTTTAAGAGACATTTCAAAATGTTTATTCTAATACCAGCAAGCTGGTGCGCCTTCGGCGCAATTTCATCTATTTTTTTACTGGTTCGTCGCTTCGCTTCTCACCTTTTCTTAAAAGGTCAAGTAATCTATACTTATTTTTCAAGCTTTTCAAAAGTCTACAGAGTGACACAAGGACCAACCTCTAGCGTTTTATAAATAAGAAAGATAAAGTCACAAATTTGAATTAGTTCACTACACTTATAGAAGACTCTGACAAAAGCCTAGAAATCTAATAAAATACTCTGTTCCAGAAAAATCTGTTTCGTTATATTTTTAAAAACTTGTTTTATTATATATATATTGTTGGGATCCTTTCCAGAAGTGAAAAAATGTCCATTCTGAAATCAAGTGACGAATTCGATCTCGTCTGGGGGTTCAAAATTTCGTTCAACTGAATAAAACCTCATTTCTAGTTTTTAAGAGACATTTCAAAATGTTTATTTTAATACCAGCAAGCTGGTGCGCCTTCGGCGCGATATATATATATAATTTATTGATCAGAAGAAAATATGGCACAAAAGTTTTAACGGGAGTTCTAGATAAAATCCCTAACGAGATGAACCTAGAGAATGGGGAAGAAAATGGAAAACATGTAAGGTTGACAAGAAATTTAAAAAAAAAGGGAAAAGGTGAGCAGAAAACAAAAACCGGGTGATGGAAGATTGGATTAAGGTAGAAAATTGACCGGGAGTTAAAAATTGGTTAGTATTCCTTACAATTGCATTCTAAATAGGGGCGGTGGTGAAAAAGAAGTCATCGGTACATTTATCTGAGAGAATAAGGGTCATAGGTCTCCTAGGACAGTCGGAAATTCTTAAGAAAGAGGATAATTCTGGCATATAAGAGGCGTCACTAATCATTTTGTAAAGCAGCATAAGTTTAGATTTAAGTCTACGATGTCTGATAGAGAAGAGGTCAAGTTGGGAGAGACGATCTTGATAAGAAGAGTATGAGATATTGCATTTCTGGAAGACTTTACGGGTGAAGAAACGGAGTGGGGATTCGAGTTTTTGAGAGAGTTTGGAATTGGGGGGAGGAGAATAGATTACTGAACAGTACTCAAAAGAGGGGAGTACATAGGTTCTGAATAAGTGAAGGTAGAATGAGGGGTTGGTGGATTTGAAAGATTTCAAAAGTTGTTTGGATCGGAGAAGTGAAACAGCAGCCGATTTGTTTATGTGTTGGGTGAACTTAAGTTTGGAGTCGGTAATAAGTCCTAGATCACGAATATTGTCTGAAGAATCAATAGCTGAGGAGGAGATGAAGAGGGGAGCGTGCTTGTTTCTTGAACCAAGGCGTAGAAGAGAAGTCTTTGTATGAGCTAGAGGAAGCTTATTGTTAGTGTCCCAGGCATCTATAGTGTTGATTCCAGATTGTAGAAGGAAGGGATCATGGGAATAGAGTTTTATGTCGTCAGCAAAAGCAGAGAAGTGGAGACCAGTGGGGATACTTTCAAGAAGATCATTAATGAAAATGATGAAAAGGAGAGGTCCAACCACTGATCCTTGCGGAACACCAGAGGGAACCGGGAAGGAAGATGAATCAATGTAGTTATCGACTTTGACAGAAAAAGTGCGGTTAGACAGATAGTTCCCAAGCCAACTGACTAGGATAGGCGGGATTCCAAAAGCGTTAAGTTTCCGAAGTAGGAGGTCATGGGGCACCATATCGAACGCCTTTTTGAAGTCGAAGAAGACAACATCGAGCGTTTTGTGTTCTTCGAGTATAGACTTATATTGAGAGGTCGAGTAAATTAGAGCATTGGTGCGGGAGCGACGGGAGAGGAAACCAAATTGGAAAGGGGAGAATTGGTGTCCAAGATCTAAACGGATTCGCGTGCATATGATGCGTTCAAAGATTCTAGCGAAGGGGTCAGTGATTGAGATTGGTCTGTAGTTATCAGGGGAGCATGGATTATCCTTTTTGTGTACCGGGATAACGTAAGAATGTTTCCAAGATAGGGGAACTGAGGAGGTTTCTAGAGAGCGGGTGAAAATTAAGGAAAGAGGAAGTGCGAGAGAAGTGGCACACCTTTTGATGAGAAAGTAGTTGGCCGGGTGGGTGAAGAAGCCACATTTTGATGGGAGTCCCTGCAGCCCACGTTCAACAACCCAAGGAGGAAAATATTCATCAGCGAGATGGAGGGGCCAGGCGGATCGAGAGGAGTTGATGAATTTAGAGTGATCGTTGAGAGTTGAACCGGGAAATTAGATCTCCAGGTTTCAGCGAATAGAGACGC